CATTTTGGTGGCTTCTGTGTTTGGTCCCATTAGTCTCTGTTCCACAGGTTCTCAGCTGCCATTTGATTACCTAACTTGTCTGGAAGTGACTCCAGAATATTGATCACTTTTTCTTTGAGGCATCTGACAAAGCCGCAGTGTCTCAGACTAGAAATAATTACCCAATATGATCATGGCATCCAAGACAAAACAGAGTCTAGAAACTCATTAAGAAACGGTTTACTTGTAATGGAGAATATCTGTCTGTAATACAGGTCCCGTCATTTCATTCATCTCAAATTATTTTGAATTTTTTCCAAATGGCTTTGGTGTAGATGGTAGTAGGGCTGTGGGCCATAAATCGAAGCCTTTGAGAGCCTTGGGTCTGGAGAGCCATGAAGAGGGAAGGAAAAGAGGGCAAGTCTCGAATCTAACCAAGGACCTGATGGAGTGCTCCACCAAGACACAGAAGTGAAGGCTGTATCCACGTGCTTCCCACAAACTGGAGTTTTTGGTGCTGATTAGAAAGAGCAGTTGCTGAAAAACTGGGGGTTTGGTGAATAAATTTTTGATTGATTGTTGTGTGTGTATACAGTGTGTGATTTTGAAAATAAACAACAACAACAATAAAAACCCCGACTGGTTGATTTTTACCTGTATTCTTCACATATACTGTTTGATCAACCCTCTTTGAAAACTGTTATATTTCACCTAATGGAAGACTGCTGTGTTTGTGGAAATTCTGTAAGTTTTTTTGTTTTTTTTTTCTTTTTTTTTTGCTTGCAGAATCGTTGAGACTAAATAAGTCTTTATATTTAATTGACTTGTTTATTAATAAATGTTATATAGATGTAAAAGACTGTATAAACTGTAGAGATAGCATTGGCAAGACTTTGTACAGATGCAACCTTTTACACAGCAGCATTGTGTAATTAATTTGTAAAGATTCACATGTAGCTCTTTATTATAGTGATTTTTTGGCTTTTGTACCAATTGAATGCATTTTTTGTGTTTTTAAATTATTTTCTCTATCTTTTCATGTTACAAAAGCTGAGGTGTGGGGGTTTTGAGTTCATTTATCGTTAGACTGTCTGGATTTTTATGTGACATTTTGTGTGCATCCCTAAATGCAAACACCACATGTTTGCCTATGACACGTTTATAGAATGCAAGGTATCTTCTAGGTTCAAGTAATTCACAAGTTAGTGAATGTCATCTTGCAACACACCCTGTACGGTCTTCCTTAAAGGAACACTACAGTATATTTTTTAGTATCTACTTGCTGAATGACTCCATACAGACCTAAGCACAGCAGAGGTCCTGGTACAGTATTGAATTGTCTGCGTACACAGGCATAATCCCTGTAAAGAGTAGTGCCAAACTGATGATTTCAATTGTGTAACTAGTTTAAAACCTAATAAATGGATTGTTTTTAACACCTGGCTTTTGTCTTCATTAAGAAGAGAAGACAGTTCTGTAGGCAGTGACTCTCATGGATTCCTTTTGGATCCATAGATCTGGGTCCATAAATGCATGCCCTCTCACCAAACCAAATTACCTAGATCAGACCTGTCCAGTACAGTGCTACCTATGACTATTTACATATAAATTAAAATCTCATTTTCCCAGTCTCAGTAGCCACATTTCAAGTGCTCATTAGCCACTTGTGGCTAGTGGTTTACCTTACTAAATAGCACAGATGAACGCTTTTATCACAGAAAGTTCTGTTGGACAGCACTGGTCTAGATCATTGATTCTCACATTGATGTGCCTAAGAATCACGTGGGGACTTTGTAAAAATGTGAATTTTAATTCATGCTGCTAGCTCATAGTATCAGTGTCTGGCCCTCAGATCACAGTTTAAGTAGTGAGGCTTTACATATATTAACCACTTCAGCTTTTTCTAAAATAAGCTGTATGAAACTATGCCTTAGCAAGTTTCCTCAAGTGGGAACTTTATTTTTTTTTAATGATTTATTTGATAGGGCACAAGTAGGGGAAGCGGCAGGCTGAGGGAGAGGGAGAAGCAGGCTCCCCGAAGAGCAGGGAGCCCGATGCGGGGGCTCGATCCCAGGACGCTGGGATCATGACCTAAGCCCAAGGCATATGCTTAATGATCGAGCCACCCAGGCGCCATTAAGTGGGAACTTCAGAAAGTAAAAGCTGGGCACCTGCTGTGACATCTTGGGCTCAGAATTTCTCTGGTTGGGGCTCAGGTGTCAATTTTAGGGCGTGCTTGCGTGAGGTGGGGGAGAGGGAGAAGAGAATCCCAAGCAGACTCCCTGCTGAGCTCGGAGCCCCTTGCAGGCTCCACATGGGGCTCAATCCCAGAACCCTGAGATCATGACCTGAGCTGAAATTGAGTCTAATGCCCAACCTACTGAGCTATCCAGATGCCCCAGGCGTCAATGTCTTTTAAAAGCTTCATATGTTTCAGTTGTGCATCAGAATTGAAAACCTCTGGTGAAGGTTCTTAAGGCCCACTTTAGACCTAGAAACAGGATTCTTTAATCTGAGTTTCTGACATTTGCCCCATGTGATTCTGACACCAGGTGTAGATGTTGCTTATTACCTTGATCCCCCAATCAGGTTATACTGTGAATGACTTAATTCCCTAAATTTTCTACCAGTGGAAGAAGACTTAAAGGGATGCAGGAGAGAAAAGGGGTGGATGGCAACTACTGTCTAAGGTAGCTCTTAAATGTATGTTGTGATAACAAAATGGAGAACAGCAGCGGGAACAGTGTTAAGGATGGAGAAGGCAGGCCAAAGTTGAGAAGTCACTGCTGTTTGGACGTGGAAGACAGTCGAGGTAGGTTTCTAGGTCGGGGAGGGGGGAAAGTTTTCTTTGAGGTTGTCATACCTAATCTAGTTTCTAAATGGATCCTTTAAAAAACAAAGACTTTGCAAATTATGTTTCAACATTTAGGAAGAAAATTTACCCACCTAGTCTGTGAATGTGAATGAAAGTTTTGGTGAGAAAAATAAGTAGTATGAGAAAGCTGTTTTCAAATACTCCCGATACATGGCATTGCTGAGCCCTTTGGATTGTAAACCAGTTGTGATTAGCAGTGCGGCTGGAGAGGATTACTAAGGAATTTTGTTTTACTGAAAAATCAACTTTTTCTACATAGTCTTCAGAGTTATTTTTGTGCAGAAAGACTATTGTCTTGTTAATATACTTGTGTTCAGTTTTTCCCCAATGTTGAACATCAGGGTTTCCAGTTCTCTCCAGATTGCATTGCAATGAACATTTTTCATAACTTCAGGGTGCCTGGGTGGCTCAGTCAGTGTCCTGGGATCGAGCCCCGAGTGGGGCGCTCTGCTCAGAGGGGAGTCTGCTTCTCCCTCTCCCTCTGTGCTTGCTTGCTCTCTCTCTCCCCCCCTCAAGTAAATAAAATCTTAAAATATTTTCATAACTAAATGCTTAAAACCTTTTTCAATTATTTTCTCAGGGTAAATTGTGAGGAGTAAAACTTTAGGTCAAGAATCTAAATACTGTAATTGCTCTGATACATTGTTTTCCTACACCTGCACATGTATCAATTTGCATTGCCAATGATAGTATTAGAACGCCTGTTTCCCTGCAAATTGATAGCCCCCCTCTTTTTTCAGATTTGTTTGAGAGAGTGTGGGGGGGGAAGGGGGGAAGAGGGAGAGAGAGAATCCCAAGCAGACACCCCGCTGAGTGTAGATTGCCCATCCTATCTCACCACCCTGGGGATCATGACCTGAGCCCAACATCAAGAAGCCAACTGAGCCACGCAGGTACCCCAGCCCATTCATATTTTAACATTTATAGTCAGCCTTTGTTGTTCCTTCGCAGATTTTCTTTCTTTTTTACTACTAAGGCTGTGCTCCATTTGGCACTGTTAGCTGGTACATTTTGTAGACATAATTCTAGTAGCTTTAGACTTGCTGATGGTACTAACTAGTTCCTGATTTCCTCTTTAGAATCTTTTACAATTTGGGATTTTTTTTTTTCCGGTATAATTTCTCTCAAAGGTGTTAACTCTGATGGCCACCTTCCAGTCCAAACCTATTGTAATCTCCTGTCAGGCGGCCAGATGCCTGGCAATCAGCTGGCGATTGTTCATTCAGTAGCTAATCCACATGGAGAGGGACAGAACTTGGATTAGAATTCTCTAAATACTAATGGGTCTTCTCTTTCAATGGCTTATTTCTAGGGCCCGAGCTCATCATAACTGACAACATAGATTAGAACCGCTACGTTGCAGGTGGTTGGGGAGTGGAGTATTATGTGGGAATTAACTGAAAATTTCTGTCAAGTTTTATCTACACAGAATTCTAATAGCATAGTCAACACCTGGATTGAATGTCTGCTTCATAAATTACCCAGTTTTTTTTTTTTTCCTTGATGAAAGCACACGATACTGGGGGAGACGTTTACACAGAAGTCAAATTCTTTGGTACTTGTTGATACCAAACAGTTCTCCTTAAAAAGATAAACTGCTAGGGGCGCCTGCCTTCGGCTCAGGTCATGATCTCCAGCTCCCCGCTGAGCAGGGAGCCTGTTTCTCTGCCCCTACCCCCCAATCTTGCGCGCTCTCTCAAATAATAAAATCTTTAAAAAAAAAAAAAATCAATTCTGTTATGATGACTTCATTTACAAACTCCGTTTCAAAGTACCGAACTGGATGATGACGCCAGCTGAATCTAGGAGGCAGAGTATTCGCTGCGGCGCGGAGGCGAAGCCCCGGGCACCGAGGGGGAGCCCCGCCGTCCGCCCGTCCCGCGCTCTCCACCCGCTAAGGCCATCGGGGGGGCGGGAAACTCCCCAGCGTTCCCGGCCTGCGGCCCAGCCCGCAGGCCCCTTCTTGCTCCGCGCGCCAGCTCTCGCCCGCCTCCGAGCCCAGGTCCCCGCGCAGCGGAACGGCGAGCCCAGCCCGGGCAGGGGCGCGGCGTGGGGGGCGGAGGGCGGGGCGGCGGCAGCGGCCAGCCCCGGGGGCCCGCGAGGCGCTGAGGGCGCGGGGGGCGGGTGGGGGCAGGCGGGCGCCGGGGCCTCAGTGTCCGGCGGAGGGGGCGGCGCCCCTGGCGTCTCCGTGACTGCGCCTCGGCGCCCCCCGGCTCGCCTGCTCCGGGGATGCGCGGAGGCGGCGGCGGCGATGGCGATGATGCCTCGAACCCGGCCTCGTCCCGGGCGGCGGGCGGAGCTGGGGTCCGGGCTGCGAGATGGAGGAGGGGGGCGGCGCTGCGGCCACCGGGCAGGTGAGAGGCCGCGGGCCCCGGAGGAGGACGCTCCCGCGGGGGCCGGGAGGGCCGGGCCCCGGGAAGCCGGCGGGGTAGGAGGAGCGCGGCTGCGCTGCTCCAGGCCCGGCCGCCGTGCACCTGCCCTGCTGGCGCGGCCTGCGGGGAAGCCATCTCGCCCCCACCTGGCCGGCTCCCCGGGCTCTGCGGGGCCGCGGAACCCGTTGCCCACTGCCCATTCTCCGTCTGAGCGCTCCGCACCCCACCAGCCCTCTGCCGATTCTCTTACAAGCTTCCTGCTCCGAACTAGGCCCTCCTTCCCTTCCGCACCCCGGGGAGCGCCTACCCACCGCCAGTCCCTGGCTAGGTAGGGCCGACCTCCCCTCCCCCGAAGCCTCGCTCTCCATCCCCAGACTGGGGGGCCTCCCTAGCCTCCTCATCTCCCTCATCCACTGATCCTACCCCAACCCGTCAGCTGCTCCGGGCTTCAAGAGGTGGTTGAACTGGGGGGAAAAGAGCGTGGGCTCTGAAATCAGATAAATCTGGCTTGAATCTTAGTGACCTTGGGCAAGTCACCTAACTTCCCTGAGGCTTTTTTTCCTGATCAATACAAATACAATGGGGATAATAATAGTATAGAACCTTGCTCTCTGCGAGGGTTAGACTGTGAAAATGCCTGTCTTCGAGGAATTTAAGACATTATGAGAAGAAAAAAAAAAAGTTGGAAGAATCCAAGCCAGGAGCTAACTTGTAAAAGCTCCAGATTTTCATATGTAGTAAAATATTAAGGTAGCACACCAGATTTTTCACAGGCTCTTCCCACATCTTAGTGAGAAATCATGGCCACTGTACACAAATTTTCATTTACTATTCCTTGCTTACTAGTTACTTTAGGATCCCTCCTCCTTAGTTGCAACAAGATGCACATAGATATGAATTCATTCTTATTGTGGCTAACATGTCTGCTGAAGACTGGTGTTCCAACTTAAAATTTTTCTGATTTTATGACTTTAATCACCTATTTATGGTGCCAGAAATAAAGAGCAGCTAGTATGCTTGCATTGAAAAAAGCATTGGTACTATTTAGGAGTACCAAATAGGTATTCATTTACCACCCCCTCCCCGCGAATCACTGAGTTTTGTAGAGCTACCATCATAACTTCGTTCGAAATTGTGATCTCAGCCTCCTCTTTCTTAAAAGTCCCAGCAGTGGGTTTACTTTTCCTTCATTTCCACCTTTGCTCCTAAAGTTTCTCTGCCAAAACCTTTATTTCTGTTCCGTGTTCTGCTTTTCCTTTTCTTCCCAGCCTCTCATTGCTTTCTTTTTTTCTAATGATCCAATAGGAATGATTTATTTTTTATTTTTTTAAAGATTTTATTTATTTATTTGACAGAGAGACAGAGACACAGAGAGAGAGGGAACACAAGCAGGGGGAGTGAGAGAGGGAGAAGCAGGCCTCCCGCAGATCAGGGAGCCCGATGCGGGGCTTGATCCCAGGACCCTGGGATCATGATCTGAGCCGAAGGCAGACGCCTAACGACTGAGCCACCCAGGCACCCCCGGAATGATTTATAATTACTTTATATCACAACCATAATTATCAACCTTGCCTAAAAGGTACATAGAAGTGTGTGTGTGTGTGTGTGTGTGTGTGTTCATATTTTGAGTTCCAGGAACTTAGAGTTGGGAAGGGATTGTACATAGGATTGTACTGAGTGTGAAGTAAAGCTTGATAAAGCTTCTGTTATGTACGCTAACCGTCCCATAAACGAAGGCTGCCGTAACTATCTTCTGGCCTGTGGACTGCCCTGATCTCTTTGTCATTATGTTGAGTTGAGCCGAGTGGTGCCCAGTGTCAGCTGTAGAGAGTACCTGGTTAGCTTCAAATCCATGCCCTACCCTGCTTTAAATTAGGAGCTCTCTCTCCAACTCAGTTTCCTTATGTGTAAAATGGGGACGAGTTATACTGTCTCAGGGTTGTGAGGATTCAACAAGTTAATAGCATGGAGCATTGAGAACAGTGCCCGGCACGTCATAAGCACTCAACAAAGTTAACATACCATTAATGATACTGATAATTATATTAATGACCTAGAATTCTCTTTTTAAAAAAATCTGAAATATCTTAAATACATTGAAAAAATTATAACTGTGCAGAAAGTGGAAGTTGGTCCTCAGCTCCACCAAATCTTTTTTTTCTCCTGCCTCTTATTCTTGACTGATGTTGGTGCCTCTTCCCCTTGACAGTTCTGTTTCCAAATATCTCCTAGCCTGGGATCTCCATAATTTCCACCACCCCACTTCTTCATTACCACCCACCTACTCGATATTTCTCTTAGCATCAATTCCAGATGCTTCATTCTTCTAATTTCCCAAACCAAATTCCTACTTCCATCTTCAGCCCTGTTCATTTCCCTGCCTCCAAAAAGGAAACTCTTCTGGGGCAGGGGGTTTGCTAGAAACAGTAGTGTCACCTCTCTGCCTTCCTGCCTCCTCAAATTGAGTTTTCTTTGCTACTTCTCTTTTCATCAGCTAATCCCAATCCTCCAGTTAACAATGAAAAAAGAAACAGTAAAAGGTTGTCTTTTTTACTACATAGCTATCAAAAAGGGTTCAGAAGCAGGCACATGGTCTTTAAGTGAAAACAGTAAGCTTTCTATTATTTTTTAATTCTAATCAAGAAACAAGAGGTCGAGATTTATATTTTTCTCTCACAGAACTTTTATAAGGAAAGTACAGAAAAGCTGGTCTCCCTTGCCAGTGGAGAACTTCATCATATTGTCGGGATCTTCACTGTTTGACCATTGAGAATAAAGAAGAGGCCATCTTCTTCCTTCATAAAGAATATCCATTAGGTATATGGACCCACCCAGGATTGAAATTTGTCCACCTGCTACTGAATGCAGAGAGACTTCTGTTCAGGTGGTTCAGACCTGATGCTCAGAGCCCCTAGGAATCCCCCATGGACCTGGCTCCCCTTCCTCTCTGCCCCATGATCCAGCAACTGAAGGGTTAACCCCTGACACAGCTGGAGGCCTCTGGGACCCATTTGGGGCTGGTGGTTAAATATTTGGAACATCACCCCTGGACCTCCCCCAGTGCCATTGCTTATTCCTAAAATGCTGGATTCAAGCAATACCTTTGTATTGTCAAGAGCATTGCACCAGTCTCTAAGGAACAACTTCAGCTCTCCCACTGGAAGCTTCTTTCAGAGCAGAGTGGGCATCCGGCCACACCGGCCTTTGGGATTTGGAACAACCCAAGATGTGTGAGTGAACTTTAAATCTCATTGGAAAAAAAAAAAGTTTAAGGGAATAAAGAGCAAGAAGAAAAAAGTTATTCTTTTAAAGCGGAGGCTAGGTCTTGCTCCTCTGCCCACAGGACATAGCATAGGGCTGGCATAGAGTGTGCACATGACAAATGTAAACTGAGCCAGTGGATGCATGGGTGGGGTGTTCCTCCTGCTTCAGCATGATGATACTGCTGTTGGAATAAGAATAACTTACCTTTGTACAGCAGCTGAGAGTCGACAGGTGCTTTGCACCTCATAAATCTCAGATATAATTGACTCCCATCAATGCTTTCATTTTTTCCTCTCAAATGTAGTCCACAAAGTGTCTTCCAAAGGAAGATAGGGAGTTGGCCAAGAAATTACCAGCAGGGAGAAGAAATTATAAATAATGGAAAACAAAGTCTTGTTCCTAGGGAAAGAAATAGGATTTGTTAGTGATTTGTGGGGGCCACAGTATACTTCAGCAATACCCTCCCGCTTGTATCTCAAGCACGTGCTGTAAGAGCGACTCCGGTCCTCCCAGCCTGTCTTCCTCCCTGTCCCTGCCCTGCCCCTCCCCCCACAGCGAGCTCCTCGTCACCACCACTCCCTTCAGCCTCCACCCCAGGGTGTATTAGGTTCCCCTCCTCTTACTTCCACAGCACCCTGCTATCATGTGATTACCACATTAAGCTATAAGTAGGGTGAGATCTCTTTGGTGGAGAAGTTATGTTCTTGGATCTCCCATGTGAGGCACTGGGAGTATTTCTAAAAGTAACATTTGCATACCCTTCCATCAGAAAAAGGTGGGGCCCAGGAATCTGCTTTTTTTTTTAACCCACTCTCCAGGTGATGCTTAAAGGATTTTGCAAACCGCTATGCTGGGAAACCTGAAATTATACCTGGAAGAATGTACTTTGAGGTGTTTGTGTCTTTTTGGTGTTGGGCCTCATGAGGAGAAATGCTTTCTATGCGTCGGGTCAGAGCTAAAAAACTCCAGTCCTTTTGTACAAAATCCTGAGATCACGCTGCTTTCTACATTAATTCTGTTTCTGGGTGTGCATTTCTTTGTGCAGGCTTCTCTGCCTCGGGGCTCTTGTGTCACATGTGGCACAGCTGTGAGTCGAGGCCCTGACCCCCTTCCCCCAGAAGGAAGAGTCCTTCCTGTCTGAAGATGAACTCCACGGAGCCCCTTGAGGATGCTCCCAACGGCACGTTGCTGCGCGCGCCTCGCTCCCAGGGAGGAAACAGCACCGCCATCCCGGGGGACCTCCAGCACCTCATCCACACGGCCACTCTGGTCACCTGTACTTTCCTGCTGGCGGTCATCTTCTGCCTGGGCTCTTACGGCAACTTCATTGTCTTCTTGTCCTTCTTTGATCCAGCCTTCCGCAAGTTCAGAACCAACTTTGATTTCATGATCCTCAACCTGTCCTTCTGTGACCTCTTCATCTGTGGAGTGACCGCCCCCATGTTCACCTTCGTGCTCTTCTTCAGCCCCGCCAGGAACATCCCAGACGCTTTCTGCTTCACCTTCCACGTCACCGGTTCGGGCTTCATCATCATGTCCCTCAAGACCGTGGCGGTGATCGCCCTGCACCGGCTCCGCATGGTGCTGGGGAAGCAGCCCAATCGCACTGCCTCCTTTCCCTGCACCGTGCTTCTCACTCTGCTTCTCTGGGCCACCAGTTTCACGCTGGCCACCCTGGGCACGCTGAAAACCAGCAAGTCCCACCTCTGCCTTCCCATGTCCAGTCTGACGGCCGCAGAAGGAAAAGCCATTGTGTCTCTATATGTGGTGGACTTCACCTTCTGCGTGGCCGTGGTGTCAGTCTCCTACATCATGATTGCGCAGACGCTGTGGAAGAATGCTCAAGTCAGGAAGTGCCCCCCCGTAGTCACCGTGGATGCTTCCAGACCGCAGCCTTTCATGGGGGCCCCCGGGAAGGGAGGTGGCGATCCCGTGCAGTGTACCATGCCGGCTCTCTACAGGAACCAGAATTACAACAAGCTGCAGCACATTCAGACCCACGGATACACCAAGAGTCTTAACCAGGTGCCCCCCCCGGCAGCCAGCCGGCTCCAGCTCGTGTCGGCTGTCAATCTGTCCACGGCTAAGGACTCCAAGGCGGTGGTCACCTGCGTGATTATTGTGCTGTCCGTCCTGGTGTGCTGTCTCCCACTGGGGATTTCCTTGGTGCAGGTGGTCCTGTCCAGCAATGGGAGCTTCATCCTCTACCAGTTTGAACTGTTTGGATTTACCCTTATATTTTTCAAGTCAGGGTTAAACCCTTTTATATATTCTCGGAACAGCGCGGGGTTGAGAAGGAGAGTGCTCTGGTGCCTCCGGTACGTTGGCCTGGGTTTTTTCTGCTGCAAACAGAAGACTCGACTTCGAGCCATGGGGAAAGGGAACCTGGAGGTCAACAGAAACAAGTCGTCCCATCACGAAACAAACTCCGCCTACATGTTGTCTCCAAAGCCCCAGAAGAAATTTGTGGACCGGGCTTGCGGCCCAAGTCACTCGAGGGAAAGTGTGGGCAGTCCCAAGATCTCTGCTGGGCACCAGCCCTATGGGCAGAGCAGCTCAACCCCCATCAACACCCGCATCGAACCGTACTACAGCATTTATTATAGCAGCCCCTCCCAGGAAGAAAGCGTGCCGCCGAACTTACCGCCAGTAAACTCTTTGGGTTTTGCCAATTCCTATATTGCCATGCATTATCACACCACTAATGATTTAATGCACGAATATGACAGCACGCCGGCCAAGCAGATCCCAGTGCCCTCTGTGTAGTGTCCTGGAGGCTGGAGACTCTTGGGCAAACTGTTGGTGTTTCGGATACTAACTGATTCTTTTTCACTTTCGTGAGACCAGCGGTAGATGAAAACGTCAAGATTCAGCAGAACAGTTGGCAGTTATGATCGTCTTCTATCCCAAGTATTGGCATCTACTGATTTGCTTTCTGGTTTCCTGACATTTTAAGATTTGATGTAAAAATTTATAATTTAGCTTTTTACCCTGACCTGTGCTCCGATCGTTGGTACTAAACTTTTAAATAGATGCGAGGAATGATCATGCTAGTGTATTCAAGGAGAATGAACTGATTGTGACCATTTGAGTCCGTGTTCGGGGTCTTCAAAGTACACCTGAGCTGGATTTTTTAAACAGTGTGAAGGGATGATCTTCACTGAGGTGAATATTTTTTATTAATTGAACTATAAATTTTGATTCTTTGAAGTGTTCAAATGGGGAACAATACACCTTTTTTGGTAGCAGGTTCATCTGAACAAATAATATATTGTCAAGGCAGAAAATCAGAAATATATTCTCGGTAATTACTTACCCAGGACACACACAGGCTTTAGGTACTTTGCTTTCCTAAGACAGTCCACCAAGTATTATGATTACTACCATTTCTTATGATAGACACTATTTGTGGGAATTGACTAGCTGTATCATTTGGTTTTTTTTTTTAAGAAATATGCTTTTGCTTGCTAAAAATGAATTATTCTATTTTGGAATGAGCTTACCCAAGAATCCTAGCGAAGAGAACTGCACTTGTAGTAGAGGAATGTGATTTCTGGGAGCAGAAGCACTAACTGGGGTCCTCTGAGCCAGGGTATGGAGATGTGGGGAGCAATCTGGACTGCTGTTGTGTGTTAGATGATCTTCATTACTGCTTAAGAAGGTGTGAGAATGAGATCGGGAGTATTCTGATTTACATGTTCCTTCTGTGTGAGGATGATTTGCTAATAAGCTGACAGAGAGTATCCAAGTAACTATTTAAAAATAATTTTTTTCTTTGTTTAAATATCACTGCGGTAGAAAAATTCTTAAGATTATCTGTTTGCAAACTAATTGTGTTATTTCTCTCCCATTAATCTTGGCGACAGGCAATAAAGAAAACTAGATTATGTATTTCTATACCTGGAACTAATTTTATGGTCTACTCTGTGATTCCTGTCATAACAACCATAAATTCATATTTTTATGTAAAAATATTTTCATTGTACAGTTAGCTTTTGAACTTGCTACAATTTTGGAACTATAGCTCTTAGACTCAAGATGAGCATCAAGATCCAAAACCTAGCTTTAGAAATTGATATATTTCAGAGCTGTTACTGCAGGTTGGAAGGAGCTTTCTTGTTTTGGGTGAAAGGGATTTAATGTAGAGCTCCCTCTCCAGGCTGTTGCCAAATACAAGAGCGCCCCGAGCTGTAGAGAAGACAGTAGATGCTCAGCTGGAGCTCTGCACAGCCTCATCCAATAGCCGCCTTCCAACACCAACATTCTGTTTGAGAGGCTTAAGTATGAGATATGGGTTTTATTTTATTTTTAAATTCACCTTTTAGGACTTTGTCCTTCCTTCTCTCCTTTCTTCCTTTAGTTTTGCTATTTAAATTTTCTAACAGAAGAGAAAATATCCACTCTGTCACATTTTTTTTGTTTGTAATTGAATGCTATTTTTGGAAGTCACTATAACCTATTTCAATTATGCTTTTATATTTTTAATACAACACTGTTTCCATTTATTAATACTCCCATGAGATAGGTTAGTATATTACCCCTTTTTAATAAAGAACTAAGAAATCTAATATCCTTTCCCAAGATCATTTGAAGATAATTCTAATTAGGAATTAGAATTTTGTCTAAATTTAGAACTGGGTATTTATTCCAATAAGCCAAACAGCATTATAATTAATAAGATTAATCAAGAAGACACTTCATACTTTTTAAGGTATATATCTCTTTTTTGGCTAGGCATTTCCAGTGTGATTCAATAAAAGATTTTTTAAAAGTAATTTCTACTTGTAAAATTTGAACTGACAGGTTTCTTGTATGACCTTTGAGTTTGAGATGACTTGACCCATCTTTGGGAGGTAAAAGTTATAGTATAAAGAAAAGGAAGCATGCATATATGAGGTATTCTGTCTCTTTATGCTCATCAAGAAATTGCTGATTTAACTTGCATGAAATACATGTTGGGCTAGATTCTTAGCCCTCCTTCACATCTATCTCTACATCTGTGTGGAGATACAGAGACAGATAAAACTTATCTCTTTGTAAGTTATATATGTCTATCCATAGAGGGAGATATGGATAGACATATATAACTTCTCTATAAGGGCTATATTGAGAACTAAAAATAATGAGAATTCAGTTGAATATGACTAATTATTAGCAGGGTATATTAATTAGTTCTCTTGATGCTTTACTGTGATGCAAAGTGTGTGATGTATTTCAAACATTTTATAATAGTTCTGATGTTAACCTTTAGGCCAGATTTGTATTTCTGATGCTTTTAATGTTCTTTTAAAATAATGTTTGGAAAATAAAAATATTGAAAATCCTAACATTTCTGATCAGATTGCAGTACTATTACTTTCCCATCCAATCATTTGAAAACCATCAGAGAAAAGTAGCGATGGTTATTGCACAATGGATAACAATATGTTGACCCTCAGCATTTTCTTCCTTAAGAGATGAAATAATTGTGGGTTTTTTGTTTTAATTTTTTTTAAAGTAAGCTTTATGCCCAATGTGCCGTTCAAACCTACAGTCCTGAGATCCAAAGTCTCATGCTCCACCGACTGAGCCAGTCAGGTGCCCTGAGTCCCCAAGATCTCTTCAATGGTTCCAGAGAGTTCTCTGGCTCAAGATCAGCGCTGCATCTGCCAGGCAATACTGATGATCTCGTCAAAAGTGGTATTTCCACTGTGCTTAATGTTTTCTTGCTTCTTCCTGTCTTTTGGTGGTTCCTTGAGGGCTTTGATAATCAGGGCGGAGGCAGAAGGTACCACTTCAATCTGGGCCTGTGTGTTCTGAATGGTCAGTTTCACTGTAATCCTCAGACCCTTCCAATCTCTGGTTCCCATGGCGATGTCATCACTGATCATTTTTGGAGACAGACCCACTGGGCCGATCTTCGGGGCCAAGGCAGACATGGCACCAACTTCCCCACTTGTGCACCTCAGGTATATGACTTTGATCTCGTTGGGGTTAAATATTTTAGGCAGCATGGTGGAGGTGGCTGGTTTTGGATGAACTCAGATTCAGGATGACCAAAGACAGTTGTACCTTCGCCTCCTCCCAGCTAAAAGCCAAAAGCAAAAATGCATATCCTAGAATTGGTAATCTATATGAGGTGTATAAGCTGGGGAGAAAGCTCAAAATTACAGTCCCTTGATAAATAATTTAAGGATCCTTCTTTGAAACCAGTATTTTTTTTTTTCAAAGATTTTATTTATTTGACAGAGAGAGACGTAGCGGGAGAGGGAACACAAGCAGGGGGAGCAGGAGAGGGAGAAGCAGGCTTCCCGTGGAGCAGGGAGCCCGATGTGGGGCTCGATCCCAGGACCCTGGGATCATGACCTGAGCAGAAGGCAGATGCCCAACGACTGAGCCACCCAGGCTCCCCTGAAACTAATACTTTGAGTAGTTTCTCAGCTAGCAACTCTACATCCGGGAGCAATGTCCTCCTAAGATTCCAGGTGGGAATTCTTTTACAAAGTGGGAAGGGGGCAGTAACAGATGGGCGGTGGTGAAGAAAAAGCAGCACGAGGGCCTGCAGAGTTAAAGCACAGGAGCCTTTTTCTTTCTTTCTTTTTTTTTTTTTTTAAATTTTTATTTTAAGTAATCTCTACACCCAATGTGGGGCTTGAACTCACAACCCCAAGATCAAGAGTCCCATGCTCTTCCAACTGAGCCAGCCAGGCACCCTGGTACAGAAGCATTCTTAAACAGCTCAGTTTTAGGGTCCTAAGAATGAGCATCTGTAAGCCTCCCTTTTTCATTTTCGAGTTATTCACACCCTAGTTCAAAGATTTCCACTCTAGGCCACTAGCAGCACTCCTTGGGTGCTGGCAGTCTTGGGTTCCTGTCCAGATCTGACTTGTGATTATAGCTCATTCTTAAATAATTCTCCCGTAATCCAGCCAGGCCAGGTCATGGAGTCTCCCCTTTCAAAGCCACCCTCTTCATTCACAGTTCAGGGGCAATGTGTACCTGGTGAGATTTTTGACTCCCAGAGAGACCTGTGTTTTCTCCCGTATCCACTAAAAGCTTTGTTTTTCTTTTCCATTAACAAAAGAAGCCTATGGTCCCACCAGAGAAACTTGAACCACCATTTTCCTACTGGAGCTGAAGGAAGGCCTAGAGTCAGTGAATATCCCAGGCCTATGGAATGGTAAGAGAGACAGGCAGGCTGCCAGGAAAAGGCTCATCTCCATTAGAGATCCAGGCTTTAGAGAGGCCAGGCCAGGCCTGGACCGAGCCTAGAACACAAAGTGGCAAGCTTCACCATCTGGAGGACTCTGCTGGCGCAGGTGACTGCCGGCTGAGCTTCAGTGGGCTCAGCCCAGCTGCACTGGCCCAAATGTGATGAGATGCAGGAGAGCCAAAGTCACTTATGGGAGCAAACACAATGACCCCTTGAAGCCAGATGGAGTAATCTTTGAGAGGCTGAAGAAGGGAAAGGAGGAGCAGGAAGATAGTAAAATAGCCCCCTATTCCCTCCCCTCCGCCTCTAAAGATGGATCTGTAAACTGAGAAGCAGGTGCTGGTAGTAATTATGATGATTTTCCATCTTCTGGCTTTCCATACCATTTAAATGCTAATGACATTCAATTTTATATCTCTAGTCCTAACCTCTCCCTGAACTCCACGCTGGTCTATCCAATTGCCTCTTCAACATCTCCACTTGGATGGCTAATAGGCATCTCAAATTTTAACATGTGCAAAACTGAACTCTTGATTCAACCCCACTCTACCAAACTTGGGGCTCCTGCTGTTTTATTATCTCAGTAAATGGCATGGCAATTACCCAGTTGCACAGCTCAATTTGTTGGGTCCTTAACTATTTCTCTTGAACATCCCATCCAATTCGTTGGGACAAATCCTGAATTATCTTGAAAATAAACTCTGAATCCAACTACTTTTTTTTTTTAAGATTTTATTTATTCATTTGAGACACAGAGATACAGAGAGAGAGACCATCAGCAGGGGGAGAGGCAGAGGGAGAG